AATTTAATTTTAAAATTCTTTTTGCAAAAAATTTAAAATACAATCAATTAAAAAAATGGAAATATCGAAACTGTTAAATTATTTCGCACATCGCGTTCAAAACTAGAGCGTCTACACATATAAAAAAAAAAAAATTACTAAAACCACTTAAACCTTTACCAGCATGAACAGTTTCGTCACTCACTGTATGTGTAAATTATGCTTTTCTTTATTTATATTTGTATTTACCGCCTAAATACCAGTGCTGTTATAATGAATTTGCAGTAATCCATTCTGTCAATCCTAGCCAATTTCCGCCTGCAACAAAGAATACGCAAAATTGTCTATTCTAAATTGTTGTTGTTGTCCTGTTTTTTACAATTTCCAACTAAATACAAATACACTTGCCTCATAAACAATATTTTTAGCTGCTGCCGCTCATTGTTTCCGCTTATGATAATTGATTTTTCCTCACTGTACTTATGCAACGCGTCAAAAAAGCATTTTCAAGTTACATTATATATACTATATGTACATATATACTCATATATAGTAAATCTGTACCTTCATATAGTACTCATGAGTGCACTGAAATTACAAGTAAATATGTCGTCTTATTTGCTTATTTACTTCAATTTTCTTTTGCTTTGCTTCTTATACGTTATTATTTCAGTTTTTTTAAATTTAATTTCCAGCAAGTATTTTCTAAGTGGTTTTCTATATAATTTTCAATTTTCTCTCGAATTTTATCAAAGTAGCAATTACGGTAATTATTATTGGCTAAAAATGCTTATAATTGAAGGTTTCACACATCGCTTTTTTCTAGTGTGCTTGTCGCTATTTTCTTTTTTTTTAATTTTATGTTTACTTAATTGTATTGATCATCAGTTTCATCTGCTTCGTGTTTAGCGTTGTTTTTTTTTTTTTTTATCAAGTTCTCTTTATTAGTTCGCTTAATTGCCGCCAATTGTGTTGTAATAATATTTGATTTTTGCACACTGCGTTTTGATGTGTTTTTATTGTTTTATTTCTTACTATTTTTTACCGCCATTTTTCGCATTCCTCATTTAATTTGTTTGCTTCGTTTTTTCTAAATCTTTTTCCTCCTATTAAGCGCATTAATCTGTGCTCATAACTTGCTTCGTAAACATGCATATATTAACACATATATATGTATGTATATTTATAGTTTATACTACTTACAGCATAGTTTTTGTAAACTTTAACGGTGTGCCTTGTTGCATAGACTTTATTTCTTTCTATTATAAAGCAAATATTGCACAAAAAGTTTAATTGTTAAACAAAAAGCATTGAAGATATGTGTGTCAAGCAATAAAAAAAATTGCACGAAATAAATTTTTATTCAAAGGTGTTACTATGGTTTGCTATTGAAACGAGCGAATTTACGAGTGACGCCGTACAATATATGATACACCTCAAATAATGTATAGCCTACATTATCGAATAGATAAAACTGTAAATTTTTTAATTGAATGGTGAAAGCTTTTAATTAAATGGCGAAAACCCATATGAAAGCTCCAAAAAAAATTATTATCATTCCTTAAAGTCTTTCATTCAGTCGATTCAAAGGAATTATTTGCATTTTTTTTAATTTTAAATAAATTTCGTTTTGGATTTTTTTACTAATCAACTGCAATGAATGAGCTCAACCATATTATTAAAAAGTATCAATATGAAATAAAGCTCAACCATATTATTGAAAATTATCAATATTTTCGATTTCTTCCAAGTTATGAAAACTGTTGCTACCAAAGATTTTAGTTTTTGTAAATTTTTAGCTTAAATATTTTAAATGGAAAATCACTTCGGCTAAAATTTAAAACTCTAGTGAAAGTTTCTGAAAGCTAAGAGATAAGTTGGCTGATTTTCTGTACCACGTAAGCTCAAGCTGCATATTATTTCTGAAAAATTATGAAGACTTTTGCAAAGTTGTATTATAAATACTAGATCGCACTGGAATTAAATTGATGCCATGAGAATAAACTTGTCTTGTGTTCCGATAAAAGCTCCAAAGAGCATTTTTTTAGGATTCATTCACAAAAAGGACCGGAATCACTACAGCAGTAAAGATCGCGTGTAATCTGAAATATGTTTAAATATTTTTCTTCAAAAATTTTACTAATATGTAGAAAAATAGCCTCAGAATTTTGAAACAATTGATTTAGGTTTTTACTTCTGATTCCCAAAAGTCATCTTTTGTTTAGTAAATACTGTTTTTATACACAACTTATTAAAAAGCTCTCTGTCTCAGATGAAAGCTTACGTAAGTATTTTTTCAGTAGCCTTTTTGAAACTGCTGTAGTTATTTAAAATATTACGCATTTTCTTGGTGCACGATTTCACGATTTATGAAAGCTTGCTCGAAAGCTCTAAATATTCCGAAATGTATTGTAAATTGAAATTATTTGAAACTTAAATTTTATGCATTTATTTGGTCACGATTTATGAAAGCTTGCATGAAAGCTGTAAATATTCATTCTGTTTAGAATTATGAATTAAAGTGTAAAGTAAGATTATTTAAATACATGTTTTTAGTATGCAATATTTTGATAGAAAACGTTTTTAAAAGCTCTCCGTCTCTGATGAAAGCTTACATGAATTTTCGCACAATTGACACTAGCTAAGGCAGCTGAAATAATAAGTGGTGTTTATAACTGCAGTTCTTTATCTGAATGAAAGGTAATGGCATAGTCTGAAAGCTCAAATGTAAGCTCGTGTGAAAGCTCATAATTGAAATGCGCACAAATAATTAAAACTGTATGTAAAAATGCTATTATAAATAATAATGTTTTTTTATATTTTATTTTTTATATTATATATTTATTTTCTTTCTTCTCAGCGCGACATTTTTCTCCTACTTGCACTACACATATTTATCAACGTTATTCGTACACTCAATAAGCTTATCATTGGTTTCATTAAATACAACTATGTTGGCAACTCTTTCCAGTTTATAAGGTAGGTAGCAGTTTCACATTAATTACTCTTTTATTTATCAATTTATTACTGTCACTTAGGTATTATGCCTTCATCTAAACTTTGCAAAGCAGCTGGCAGCGCTCTCTGGTCTTTCTGCTCTTCTTCTTCTTTCTGTTTTTTTTTTTATTTGCTGCTGCATTTCTGCGCGTTGTTCTTCGTTTAGTTTAGTAAATATGTTTTTATTAAAGTTCTTTTTGCTTTTAAGTTGCAACTGAAGCTGAGTTTAAACGAACTTGCAGTGTTTTGGTATTAGTGTGTGTGTCTGTGTGTGGCGTTTGAAATTATTTTTTATTTGCTGGCGTGTTTTCTTTTTCACCTTTTACGCGTTTTTTTAAATGCGTACATATTTGCTTTAGTTGTTGTTGTTTTTGTATTATTATTAATTTTTTTTTATTTTGAAAACTTATCACAAAATTTATTGGGCGGAATTTTAGCGTGTACGATACGTAAGTTTGTCTAACGGAGTATGTAGAAGAACTAAAATTTAGTGAAATATGAAAAATAAATGCCAAGTAAATATATATGTATATATGTATATATGTAAATATAGTATATCGTCACCTAAAATACAAAACAATTTAACATCACTTTTTAAAAGTTTACAGGCGAAAGAAAAATTATTTAACAGAAACCAGTCATATTGAAACAAAATTTGAGTTTTGCTTATAAAATGATTATGTATTGGTTATATAATGGTTATATCTGACCGCGAAAGCTATCATAATGTAATATCTTGTAGTATTACGTAAGCAATAAAAACTAAATTTCCATTTTAAGTGACGATATATAAGTAGTATGTATGTATGTAAGTTTAAAAATGAACATTTGTGTCGAGTATGAGTTGACCAACAGCTTAGACGCTAATTTGCTCTTAAACTTTGACTTTTTTATAAATTTCTTTATAACTTTTATTTTACTTTTCATTTTTTTTTAATTTAAATTATTTTATATTTAGCTTTCTTCTAATTGGCTACACTTTATAAGCTAACGACGGCATGAGAATTGAAACAAGAAAATTAAACGGACTACGAGTATTGCTTGTGTGGGAGTTAGATGTTTCAATTTGTTGCTGTTGTTTGCTTTTGTTAAGTTTTGTTTTTGTTGTAGTGTTTTTTTTTTCTGGAAATTTTCACTCCAGTTTACTGCCGTTATGTTCCAATTTCAATGAGTGAGTGGTATATATGTATACATGTGTGTGTAGCATGTTCTCTATGTGTGTGTGTATGTGTTTCTGTACGGCTGTGTAAGCGCTTACTACTCCAAAGCCTGCAGGTATGCTTTTACTTTACTTTTTTTCATTACAAAAACAACACACAATACGTTTTCTATGCAACTTCACTTTATCGTTACTTTTAATTTAATTTCATTTTGCTTTTCTTCCTTCACTTCACTTCATTTTTCGTAAATTTGCATAAGCTTTAAAATTCTGCAGCGTCTCGGTTGATCGCTGCCAATCTTACTACTTCCCATTAGTTGCTAATATTATTACATTACTGTACTATGCAATTGCGTGCGACGTACAAAGTGTGAGCGCAATGCAACCCTGTGCAATTAGCTGTGAGCGCATGCAGGAAATGAAGAGCGTTTAATGGAAAAGAATACGCTAATTGTTACTATTGTTTTTGCAATCATTTTACAATAATTTTTAATACTTTCTTCTATGCATACATGTACATATGTATGTATATGTTTATATTTTTTTATTTATAAAAATTAATTTACATACAAAATTAATTTTTTTCTTGCGCACATATTCGCCAATTTTCACCTCGACCGTAGCGCTAAGGCTACTTTTACGCTTCTGTTTATTTTGCAAGTTGCGCCAACACTTGTTACCTGCTTAAACAGCATTGTTCTTATATATTTATGTCTATATATATATGTATATTTTTTTTTTTACTTATGTAATGCTTCAAATAAAAATCATAAGTTTGAGATATCCTTTTTCTGCTTCTTACTTCTCTAACGCTTCGTTTTACTCCTTTGCACCTGCTGTCTCCTCAAATAAGCTTCGGTTAGACACCATTCTCTCCCGCACCTCTTTCTTGTTGAGCGTTTTCAAACTCTGCTACTTAGTTTCATTTCGTTTCATTTCATTTAGAATACCAACATTTGATCGGCACTTCCTTCCGCACTGTCGTCGTCGTCGGTCTCCTCGTCCTCATCGTCGGAGGTGAGTGATGAGGCGTTATTCACAACGGACTCTGTTCAAATAGAGTAAAATAGAAGAAATGTATGTAAGAAAAAAAGTGAAATAAATGGAAAAGTGTAATGAAATAGAAATGACGAGAGCTGAAAAGTTGTGCTGGCTCATTTGTTAGTCAGCTTGACAGATTTGATTGGCTTAAAAGTTCAATTCGATTTTCCCAATGGAGTGCAATAATGCTATGTACGAATGTGTATTTCACTCTTATTGATGAGCAGGTGTATCCAAATATATACAATATATATATATATATATAGATGTAGTTGTTTGCACTGAAGATATATTGGTAATCGGAAACTTTATTTTTCAAATTTCGAAAAGGTCATTGAATCGCTCAGTTAGGCCGCTTTGGGATGAAAAACTTTAAGTTCACTTCATACATATAAATTTTTACATGACAGATGGAGCTACATGCATACATGCAAACACTGTCTGTTCGTCTACTTTGTACCCTAAGCTCACGAAAGTCAATAGATCAAAGCACTAGTTGAGTGACCTTACGGCGTACAAAAAGTTAAACTAAAATGGCTACAACATTTTTCTGGCATCTTAAACTAATATCTCTAATCAGGAAAGTAGACTTCGTTTGTACCAAAACTATAATAACTTTTACAAAAGAAATGGTTTTTCGTATAAGAACTAGTTCGATATGGGTGTTTCCGACAAAAGAGCTCCTTCTTGATATCTGAAAGAATTAGGGACTAGTTCGCGTATATGTACATATACAGCCAGGCAAAGGGATAAAGGGAGTCGCCTGTCCGACGACGGTACTTTAAGTCATGCTGGATCTTACAACGCTTCACCTAGTAGTCCCAGCGCATGAAGGGCTTAAGTGGAAAAAATATCACTCTTCCCCCAAGGGACAGCGTTACCAAAGTGTAAACTTCACTATGAAGTTCAATGTTACCCTCAGCACTAAGGTTGAATGGAATAGTATAATCAGGTGTTACACCGGCTGCTCGAAAGCGTCGCAGGGATATGGCGCAGGAGTCGCAGAATCATTCACCAAACTCTCCATACCTATGGGTAGTTTTCCGAGTATATTCCAAGCAGAGGTCTTTGCTATAAGTCGGTGCGCATGTATAGTATAGCCCCAAATGAACTGGCTGATGAGCTCGCCCGCTCCACAGCATCCACCAAAATGGTAGGACCCGAACTTTTCATTGCGGTTGGTCCCTATAGTAAAAAGGAGCTGCTCCGCAAAGATGAAGGAGTGAACAGAGATGGGTATTTGTAACAACTCCACGACATGCGTCTCGACAAGTTGCTACCACCCATTGCAACCTTAAAAGGTTTAAATATGTAATCAACCTTCTAAGGGACAAACTCACGCTACTTGTCGCCTTCTGCACTAGAGATCGTATACTTAAGAAGCATTTATATCACATGGACCTAGCTTTTTGTGCGAATTGCAGTTTTCCCTTCATGGAGCCTATACCACCAGAACACCTGCTAATTGACTGCACAGTAGTCTGTACAAGCAGGATAAAGGCCCTTGTATCCACGTTCTAAATAGAGATCACATCACCTGAATAGCATTATATTGGAATATATCAATGTGTTGAGGCTATTTGAGTAGTTCTAACTTAAGAGAGGGAACAATAGATCTTAGTTATTGGACAGGTGTGTTTAAACTACGCGCGTAAACCGATTTGATAATTAAATTCTTCGAAGATTGGTACAACCTTTTTTATGTTGGCGTGAAGTTTAATCTCCATATCTAGCGATTGTTGCTACCCGTGAACATGTATTTTTTTGTGTTGATATATTGCCATNATGAAATATAATCAGAGATACTCAGCCTAACATAAATCAAGTTGAAGATTTGTAAGTTTTGCAGCAATAGTTTTGATAGAGAAATTGCGACTTTTATCCATTGAAACTAGCATTTATATTTTATTAAAATTTTGCTAGAACTTGAAGTGAATCAATTCTGTTATTGGTTGCTCAGCATTCGCGAGTTGTGGAGATCCGCAAGGTGCATATATGATTCTTTTGGGTTGATTGACGTAGTATATATGCATAAATTATAGCGTACTACATTCATAAATCCACTATTATACGAGACTACATGGCAACCCACAGAGCTTTTATGTAAACGAATTTCCGGAACACAAATCACACTCACTGCGAAAGGTTATTAGCTGCATGTAACGGTATTGACCTTCAAAACCATAAGTCTACTAATTAATACCTTACTGTGCCACGAACAGCCGGCAAGCGGACCCTTGCAAGTCAATTAGTCCTGCATAGGCATCCAGCAATAGCCACAACTTAACTCAACTCGACTGCCTAGAACATCTAATTCAGGCCGCAAGTACGTAATCAACAGAAATGTGGTATGTATATTTAATTTTGTAAGTCGTAGTGTCCTTATTGCGTCCCTTTGTCGCATATTAGTGAACTTATTAAGTTCGTGCTTTTGAACAGCGCTCACTTGTAAGCCAATCGAACTCTATATATAATCTTGCAAACGACGTCATTTGCTGTCAAAAGCAAAATATTTACATAGACTATGGCGGCTAGATAAGTGTGCGGTTCGAATTTCGGCATCGATAGAGTCCGAAATTTGAGGGAGTAGAGTTTTTCTATTAGACGTCTCTTTTAAAAATTGGCTTCATTCTTTTATTTTTACTTTCTAATTTAAAGGGATTTTCAAGGGTCTTCAAACCCAAATCTACTGACGAATCTGCAAATCCAAAGCCTTCAGTAATGGACTGTGTTGTGAAAAATTAAACATTTCCAAAATAATTTTGGGAATTAATGCCGAATCGACAGTCCCTAGCCATAAGGAATTTTGATCCATTCTTATTATGTAGAATCGACTGTCTGAGTTCTAACTTCTAGCTTCTGAAAAGTTCGTAGAAGGGAGTTCCAAACTAAATATCAAAGATAAAGCTGGACTCAATTGCTTGTTAGTTAGAAATACGAGTATAGGTTCAGTACTGCGTGACCACAAAAATGAACTAAGCAACAGTATTAGACGAATTGTGAAAACTTACTAGCTCAGAGTAACTCAATGATTTTTATGAAATATCTGAATTTTCTACACCTTAACTTGCTGATAATTTTCAAATTGGAACATCGAGGGTAATTTTTCAACCGGATGAAGACTAGGGATTCACACAAAGTGGTTTGAAAAGTTTCAAAAAGTGTGTAGAGCCCCGTTTCCTCCATTCCCTTGGACAGTGCAGTCGACATGGTTGAAATCGGATTATAACCTCGATCACTCCTCATATAACGGTTATTATGTAAATAACTAAGTGTGCGATAACTCAGTATAAAAAAGCGTCAGAGACACCTAAACTAAAATTTATGGAAGACATGGCGTATACTTCCGGTAAAGCAAACTAAATTTATAATGCTCTCTATCGAGAAAGATGTAATGTAAAGTAATGAGTTTCGTATTACTGTGTGCAGCACTAAAATGGAAACAGGTAATGGATATAAAAACGTATGCTAAACAAATAATTGCAATGCACAAGCTTTGCAATTATATTTAGCGGATAGTAATAATTAGCTAGTATGCCGTCTATTGACATCCAGGGAGATGAACTCGAGCCATTACAGGTATATCAGCTATTAGCGCGTAAAACAGTATCGGCAAATACAAAGAAGAAGGACAAAAGCACCTAAATGTGACAGAAGCAGTGGCAATCCTCGAGCAAAGGCACTGAACCTACATACTTTGACAGACGACATGGGGACCTGGATTTCCATCTGACCCAAATGGGTGATTAGGAAGCTACCTTTACAGATTCCACAATGATATTAGTCCAAACTGTCTGGCATGTACAGGATCTATAGAAGACTCTAAACATATATTATGTTATTTCTCTCGCTTTTCAAATACAACGGAAAAACTAACAAGTAAGGAAGGGCTAAGTTTGGGTGTCACCGAACATTTTATACTCTCGCATGATAAATCGAGATTTCAGGCGTGGTTGTGAACCGATTTCACCCATATTTGGTATATGTCATTAAGGTGTTAAGAAAATACCTTATACCGGATTTCATAGAAATCGGTCAAGTACTTCCTGAGATATGGTTTTTGGACCATAAGTGGGCGACGCCACATCATTTTCAATTTAAAAAAAAAAARCCTGGATGCAGCTTCCTTCTGACATTTCTTCTGTAAAATTTAGTGTTTCTGACGTTTTTTGTTAGTCGGTTAACGCACTTTTAGTGATTTTCAACATAACCTCTGTATGGGAGGGGGGCGTGGTTATTATCCGATTTCCATTTTTGAACTGTATATGGAAATACCTAAAAGAAATGACTCTGTAGAGTTTGGTTGACATAGCTATAGTAGTTTTCGAGATATGTACAAAAAAGTTAGTAGGGGGCGGGGCCACGCCCACATTTCCAAAAAAATTACGTCCAAATATGCACCTCCCTAATGCAATCCTTTGTGCCAAATTTCATTTTAATATCTTTATTTATGGCTTAGTTATGACACTTTATAGGTTTTCGGTTTCCGCCATTTTKTGGGCGTGGSAGTGRGCCGATTTTGCCCATCTTCGAACTTAACCTTCTTATGGAGCCAAGAAATACGTGTACCAAGTTTCATCATGATATCTCAATTTTTACTCAAGCTACAACTTGCACAGACGGACGGACAGACAGACATCCGGATTTCAACTGTACTCGTCACCCTGATCACTTTGGTATAAATAACCCTATATATGACTCTTTTGGTTTTAGGACTTACAAACAACCGTTATGCGAACAAAACTATAATACTCTCTTTAGCAATTTCGTTGCGAGAGTATAAAAACCGAATTCGATAACTTAACGACACTCATGTGTCAGGCGACTGAGAAATGGAAAGTTCTTAAACGTTTTAGTGCATATTGACAAAACTGATACTTTTTCAACAGATTAGGCGTACGACAGTCCGCACAATAGAGGAGACTTAAATATCCTGTCCCTTCCACAAAGTAATACTTAACCAGTGGTTCCGTGGGATAGTCTCAGGTAGGGAGTAGGTTAGGTTTAGCGGAATTAAGTTCCGCGCTCCGGCTTTCGATGCTTCCCCCTACTACAAAAAATACTGACCTGACACAACTAAAAGATTTTATAAGAAGTTTGCTCCTGCTAGAAATAAACTTGAAACCTTGCAAGGCGTAGCACACACGTAACACACTTTACACTTTACACTGGAATTAAAAGGGTCTCCAGTAGTAGTATGCCCCTTTAAAGTTTATAGCACAACCGCCACTAAACCTTTCTATACTTAGCAAAATCTATATAATTTTCCGTTCCGTTACGATTTGGTATATCAAATCTCATTTATCACACTGCCTTCGTGCATACAGCTACAAAGTTTACACTTTTGAGGACTTAATTATTGTAATATGCTCTTAAAATTTGTAACAGGAATAATCTTATGTAGAAACTTACCGCAATTGGGCTTGCCACGAGTACGTGTGTTGGCGAATTCAACTCCATGTTTATCCACACACCAGCAAACGCCGACAGAATTATGACATTGAGTGGGTTTATAGAAACCCTGGATATCGCAATCGGGTGCATAGGCGCCTTTTATGACAAACGTGGAAGAGTGACAGCGACGTGGCAGCACATACCGATGGAAACATTAACAAGTAATTGAAATTTACATATTCAAGTTAGGAAGCTTTTAGGTGAATTTCGATTAACAAGTTCTTTATAGATATAATGTAAAGCACAAGCGGATAAAAATATATATGTAAGTTAATTGAAGAACCAAGGCTATAAAAAGTATATTATATAATAAAAAAAGTAAGAATATGTATTTATGTAACTATGAAAAGTTTAAATATTTGATACGCGTATATTTTGATAGTATGTAGTTAACAAGGAATCATTAAAATTGAATGCAATTTGATTATATTGTATTAAGCATATAATAATTGGAAAAGCTGCTAAAACTTGAAAGCTCTTAAATATGTGAAAGCTCTTTATGTATGATGTAAGTGAAAGCTTCATAGTGCGATGCAAAGTGCAAAAATGTCGAAAGCTTCAATACAGTTGTTGAAATAGAATTGAGCTAAGAAAACGTTGAGTGTATGTGTATTTCTAATTTAATTTAGTTTTTAGTATATCCTTAATGCTTTTTTTTTCTTTCGTTTCGTTTCGTTTCATTTCGCTCTTTACATTTGTACTTTTGTGTAGCAGTTAAAAAAACAACAACGAAGAATCGAAATAAATAAATCATTTAAAAGAAATAAAAGTCCACCTGTACCTATCTCACCTGCAAAATCGCCAGCGATTCTTCGTCGTACCGCGGCGCATGGGCGATCGGTCTTCTCGAAGCAGCGGCACCATTCGCGCGTATTAATCGAATTATCCTGATCCAAATCGCACGTATCAATGAATGGCTTAATGCAACGCTCATTCTGATCATGCTCCAAGTCGTACATTTCCTGCAGCGACAAATAGCCGTCGTTGTTCAAATCCAAATGGCCGAACATCCATTTGGCCTCGGTCTTGCAGGCGGGTGGGAAGTGCGCCTTGGATTTTTGGCTGTGTTGTCGTCGTTTCTTGCTGTCGGCCATTATAACGGAGAACCAGTCAAGCAGGCGATTGCCGATGGCGGTCAATTGTTGTGGCTTGCATTCGGGCGATTTGGAGGGTAAGAAACCTGTGCGGCCATATGCGGAGAGGGAATGAGATTAGGTGATTAAGTTTGTTGACTGTTTCGAGTATGTGTGTGTGCAAGTATGTGTGTGCATATTTAATGTGTATACCCATTAGGTGAACGTGTATATGTGTTGCAAGTTGAAAAGGTCACATTTAATGCGAGAAATTATGCAAATTGCCGCATTGATTGCTTGTGATTGAGTGTTGTAGGTGTGTATTCTATGGATGCGCGTGTATGTGTTCTCTTTCCATTACTCACCATTGTTCATGCTATTCTTGTTGTACTTTTGTGGTTTCTCGACCACCTCATTATAGCCACGAATTTTGTGCTTGTCCTCTGGGTATTGGTTGTCCTGCAATGAAAAGAGCGTGCGATTTATATCAAATATAATGTATTTTACCCAATTACATAAGTTTTTGTTGTATTTTCTGTGACTGCACTTAATGTTAGTAGTTTTTTTTTCCAAATATATGAATATAGAAAACCACTATAAAGCTATTGTTTGTTTTCGGCTCAAGTTTAATAATTTGCGTGCATTTACAAAAATGATTGTATGAAGATAAAATGCCACTCAGAGAAATATATTGAAAGAATTATGCTTAAAATTAATGAAAAATGGCTACTTCTGTGCATTATTTAGTTCAGAGTAGTTTATTTAGATAGTTTAGTTTAGAGAGAGAGAGAGAGAGAGAAAGAGAGGGAGAGATTTTGAACCATCAATTGTTCACACTTAGTAGTAAAAAGTCAAGGTGCTTCCAAAGAGCATATTTTTGGATAATCCAGATAAATGGCCAACAAATTTGATATAATACTAACATATTTTGAAGATCATGTACTCAGCCTTACTACTATATTTTACTTCTAGGCAGCGAAAATAACTCATGGAGAAAATAATTCCAGCTACAGAGCTGATTAGAGAAGTTCTTCTTATATCTTCTATAAGAGTGTAAAACTGCCGTCGCACGCCGACGCCATCGATATCACTAGTCGAAACAAACAGATCGTTAGTTCTGCTTTCTATAAGTTGGACAAAGAATCGAAGCAAATGGGTCAAATAGTGAACGAGGGCAAGACAAAATATTTCATATTATCAAGCAAACAGTCTTCGCACTCGCCACTTGGCTCCCACGGCACTGCTGACAGTCATAACTTCGAAGTCGTAGCTAATTTCGTTTATCTTGGAACCAGCAGGTACGCCAACTACAACGTGAACCTCGAAATCCAACGCAGGATAACTCTTACCAACAGCTGTTACTTGGGATTGAGTAGGCAATTGAGAAGTAAAGTTCTCACTCGACGAACAAAGACCAAAATCATGAAGTCACTCATCATCACCATCCTCTTATATGGGGCAGAGGAATGGGCGATGACAACATCTAACAGGCGATACGAGTTTTCGAGAGAAAGCGTCTTCGGAAGACTTATGGTTCGTTGCAATGGCGAATACCGCAGTCGATGGAACGATGAGCCGTACGAGTTTTACGCCGACATTAGCATATTTCACCGAATTAAGAGACAACGATTACGCTGTTTAGGTCATGCCATCCGAATCGATGAAAACACTTTAACTTTGAGAGTGTTCGACCCAGCAACTTTCGGGGAAAGCGGAGAAAGAGGAAGACCTCCAATCCGTTGGAAACCACCAGGTAAAAAAATACTTGGAATCTCAAATTGGCGCCAAACAGCAAACTCGGCTATAAACGCGTTAGCTTTGCCTACGCCAACAAAGAAGCAGAAGAAATGGTTTAAAGTCAGCTGAAAATTCGGAAATTTCAGTACGAGGTATGTTGAAAAGAAAAGTCTAGCCTTAATGCATTATCCTTTTATATTGGTCAAGTATACTCGAGAACTTATTTCAAGCACACTGACCGACATGTTTGGCATAATGTTTGAGTAATTTGTAGACCAATTTCACACATTTTTCGGCATTGACCTCTAATATATCTATATAGTGATTTTATAAGATCAGTTAGTCTTTTTATGATATCTTACATATTTACTGATTATACGGTAAGTCAGCCGGAAGTTTTAAAATCTTATATTACGTATACGAGATATAGGACTATTATTGACCGAATTTTCAGATTTCATTCACTTCGGGCACAACTGTTTCTTTAGAAATACGTTTTCTGAATTTCATTAAGATAACTCGCTTATTAGCAGATATTTGTATGTACGCTGTATAAAATCAACTGAAAGTTCGAAAATCTATATATTAGTATAAGGCATATGGGCGCTATTGGAAGCATTGAACGTATTCAAACAATTTTTGACATCCGGTATGCCTGTCTATCATTATATTGTTAGGAAGGATTCCCGAATTTCAGTGGTCAAGACAAGACAAATCTTTGAGGAATTATAACTCCAAAGTTTTTTTCCTCGAAATATTCATTCAAGCTAGATTTGTGTACAGTAAAGTGGAATAATCAGATTGAAGTTATAACTGTATTAATTGTATGGCAAGTAGAAAGGGCTCGAATAGGAATGTCGGAATTATGTTACCTGCGGAATTTCGTTAAAATTGGTTTAGTAGGCCAGGCGATTTGTGATTTAACCTAATCGTTGGCACTGCTATGCTTATCGTCCAATTCGGATCCTATAAAGCTCTCCCATTCCATACCGGATATAAAATTAAATGTCTCTGACGCATTTTGTGGTTGAGTTTTCGCACTTTCAGTAGTTTTTGACAAAATTGTTATGTGGGGAGTATTTCCCACATTCCACATCTGGGCGGCTACGGATGCGTTGGGATTCCGGCCTTGGTTAGGTAGCTGTTCACCAGAAAGGCAGTGTGAGCCGTGGCGTTGTCATGATGCAATTTCTAATCGGCTGCGATGTCTTGTCAGACCCGATTCACCCTTCGTGTGTGTCTCTTGAGGACCACCACGCAGAAATTGACGTTGACGGTTTGTCCAGGAGGAACAAATACATGGTGGACGATGTTTTTGATATCAAAAAAGACAATGAGCATCGTTTTCACTTTCGATTTGCTGATTCTTCGGGTCTTCATCAGCGAACTCTTCCCGGCCCTCCAAAAACACCTTATGCCACCGAAACACACAATTTCTTGCTAAAGCAACATTTGGGTAAGCCTGTTTGATCATATAAAATGTTTCTGTCGCAGATTTACCGAGTTTTACACAGAATTCAATCGCGTACCTCTGCTCTAACGAACGCTGCATTTCCGGCTTGCACAACTCAAAGAGACACGTCGAGCGAAAATGACCAGCCGCTCGTTTGTTAGTAATATTACAAACAAGCACTCAGATTTCAACTCATATCGGCTTCCTGATTATTTATATACCATATAAGAGGCTTTATATCTATACAAATTACAATAGCATTAAAAATGCTTATAGACCCAATACCTTAAACTGGAGTTTATTTCACAGGATTAATAATATACATATGTATGTGGCATCAAATATCTTTTTATCAACTATTTCGGAGGTGAAAACTTTGTGCTACTCTCTACCCCCGCAACTCACTTGCACATGTGGCTCGCCGAAATTTCAACTCCTAGTTATTTAATTAAGGGCGTAACCACAAATTCAAGAGAAACACTGAAATGCCAAGTATGTTGAAACACAATATAAATTCAATAATGCGAATATTGTGGTCAAATTAATTTCACCCCATGGCAAGTCATTCAAATGATATCAAAATGAGCGTATGGTAATGACAACTTGTCAGTAAAATTATGTGGGGCTCTCTCTTCACGCCATCGAAGTAACTACTATTATTATAGGTATATATAAATATTGTATATGTACTAATGAAAATACTTGTCTTCGCAGCCGTTATTGTCATGGCGAATACAATAGAGACAAAGTGGCGTGAAGTGTAGACGGGGTAGAGAAAAGTGACGAGAATTTAGTTCAAGTTCTTTTATTGCTATTAAAGCTACTCCTACTAAATTCACATCTACGTGCTTATTTCCATTGCGAGCACTTCTATTGTACTCTTATTTCGTGTTTACCACTACAATCCAACTCACCTATTGAGGGAGTTAAGGCTTTGTATCCACAACAACATACAAAGTGGCTGTGAGCTACATGGAAATGAGAATTCCATAAATTCCATGATTCAAATGCTAGAACTATGTGTAGGTATATGGAAGGAGGTGTTATTATAGACCAAATGGCATACTCAGTATATTTATTTAGTTTGTGGGCTGAAGCGGGTTCTCTGTAGGAAAAATACTTCAAGTAAAATTGTATGCATTTCGTCAGAACTTGTGAAAGTTTTTAGATAAAAATAAATTTAAATTAAAATGAGCTGGAAGATAGTCACTTGTTGGGTCTTTTGTTGGATTCGTTTGGACGAGTAAAATATGCGTCATAAATTTATAAAATCGGAATCGGAAAACATTGGAACTCGTCTATTTACACAGAGTTGACAGCTCATCCGAAGCACGCATTCGGACTGCTTTATGTTGTCCTTTGTGAATTCTTGTTTCGAACTTATAAGTCTGCAAAGTAACTTATGGCCAATACAAACTTGTTCAGACGTTTAATTTCTATTCCCACTACTTCAGTGGTATATCTGAAAGTGTGAGTTCACAGGTATTTAAGCCCTGATCGCTCAACCGCGGAAAAATCAAGAAGGACGTAGTGAGATGTTTCTACCTTGAGTTCTTCCATACAGCTTCTGGAGTTAATGTCCAATAAGATTATTAACTTTACACCATGGGCACCAATAGAACAATGACTATTTGAATCCCCACAACCTTACTTAAGGCATTTCTTACGATCGACCTTGGACTTCACTTTGATTTTAACGTCTCAACGAAGGGACTAATGTTAAAACTTTTGGAAGGTGATACTTGGGTGCTGTTAAGCGACTATTTTCTTGTGAACTGCCGAGAAGATAGTTAAATTGCTCACCGTAGCTATTTATACTCTCTGGAGAGCTCAGAGAGTAGATTACTACATCTCTTGCGATCAATTTTGGACAGAAAGGGTTTTGCGACTGCGCAAGTACCGATGGTGGCCCAGCGCTGGCCAAGCTTCCTGTTCAGTTGTAGACATGAGGACAACAAGAGTACAACTCGCTCTCATTCTACTGATAGTGGCTATAGGGTGCCTTTGCTTGCTATCTCATCAGCTTTACAATTACCTGCGATTCCGCTTTGGCCCCGCACAAATTCTAGTCTATTCACAAAGATATTCGATGCTATTAGGCACTCCTCCATGAACCATGAATGCACTGTAAATAGGTTGAAAGCTAGTATTGCCGCTCTGCTATCTGAGTGAGTAGTTACTTCTCTAAAGTAGGCCGCACTCCGGAGCAGAGAATTTAGTGCAACCTTAATGGTTGCATCATTAGTTTGGAAAATACTGCAATAGTCAAGAAATCTGAACATGGAGTTGATAGAGAGCTCCCGATAGTAAACTCCTCCACCAACGTTCCCCCAAACTTTGACCCATCCGTAAAGAAGCTCACTGCTCACTCCTCCAACGGCTTTTTCCCACCCATAGCTCCTCCGTCGGTGTATGGGTAGAGAAGGAGCCGCCATAGTTCGGTTTGGCGACTCCATTATCTAGATTCGCCCTTTTAAGCACCCGGATTCTCTGTGTCTAATAGTCATTTTTGCGACCATACATCTTTCGGTGATATTTATTGGCCTTATGTTCAAAATTGCGTCAAGTGCCATGGAGTGCATCACACATGCTGATGAGCGCCCTCCAGTTGAACGCTATCGGGTTTCTTTGCAAGTGGTCTCTTTTATAGAGCCCTCCACTAAAATGCTTGCCTTACACGAAAAAGTATAAGTAGTTCATGGTTAAATTGCCATAGAATAGACTGTTAGTTTATCGTATTTCTATCTGAGTAATGAACCTCCATTCGATAATTCGTCTCTGCATCACCGCCTTGCATGACCGGTCTTGAATTCTTAACTTTGATGCTTCAATTTTCACTATAAATTTGGTGCGGAGACCCTACCGGCTGCTCTATGCTCTTTACATACTTATATGCTTCGACATAAATTTTATCATAATTTTCAGATATGCTGAGTATACGAGTTTAACTAGATATTTCACATTCCTAGCAGCAGGATATGCCTTATCACTTATCACTTACCTTCTTGTAGGCGGTGTACTTGAGATACTTATAGTGTTTGTTATCATATTTGATTTCCTCCGGTGTGAATGTGAATTGCGAATTTATGTGATTGTAATGGCGATTGTTATCGTCCTTATCCTATTTACCCGAACACCACCCACGTGTGGTGACAATAGTGACAGCGATGACCAAACCATACATAACGGAACCACAAACCGGTGCAAAAAACGGAGTATGCAGTTGCGTGTGGGGCAGTTGCGAGCGGTGTGCGACGTGTCAGGTGTCAAGAATGTGAAATCAGCCATCCGCATGAGTAAGCATTAAAGCAACAACAACAAAGCAAAAAATGTGCGTCGCCGGTGTCGTAGAACCGTTCACGGCGTAACGGTAATAGCGTTGGCAATGAAGTGTGGTGGATAAGCGAGCGGGCGGTGCAACGGTGCGGCAGCGTGTAAGCGAAATGAAAGAAATAGAAAAGAAAGCACAATTCATGTTAGAACAATGAAGAAACAAAGGTACGCAAAAAAAAAAAAAAAAAAAAAATAACCATTGCAAGAATTGAAATAAAATTTACGTTCGTTATTTACGTTTATTCAGGGAATTCCACAAAAGGTACCAATTTGAGACTTATTGACTCTGGTGCCATTCGAATTTTATTTTGGTTCTAAAACCGAGTTAGAGACAACATGTGGTCTCTGGTGTATCGTGAAAATGAGGACATATACATTTGTACGTGTGTGGTGTACTGGTGAGTAATAGTAAGCATTCAAGTGTGGTGGTTGACTAAATGTTAGAGTGTTAGATAATTAAAAACAAGAAAATACCCTTCAGAGGGGAATTCCTTATAGCATTGGTGTGTATAGTAACTTATGTTCTAAAGGGTGGTTCAATTCGGACTTCCCTACTTTTTTTTGAAGTAAAAACACAGAAATTTAAAATTTTTAAAGGGAAGTGATTATTATCTTTCGAAAGAACATCTTTTGGCATTGAATTTTTGGAGATTATCTTTTTCAAATGTTGGCCGCGTCTACGTATCAGATGGTCCATACGTTGAGTACAATTTTTAATAACTCGTTCGAACATTTCGACTGATAACTGTCGAATGACACGCATGATGTTTTGCTCCAAAACCTGAATCAAATCGGGATTGTCAGCATAGACTTTAGACATACAGAAAAAAGCCTAACGGCGTGATATCGCGTGATCTTGGTGGCCAATCGACATGAAATTATCTGCTCACCGGTGTGTGCTGCGCGATAACGGTCGTAATTGACGGTTACATTCTCATCGGCATCATTTTTGAAGAAATATGGACCGATGATCCCACCAGCCCTTAAATCACATCAAAGCGTTGCTTTTTGTGTGTTAAATGGCAGCTCTTGAATCTCTTCAGATTGCTCTTCGTCCCAAATGCGGCAAATATGCATATTTACATACTTATTGAGCTAGAAATTTGTCTCATCGCTGAACGAAATTTGGCTCGAAAACATCGGATCTTCTTGAAGCTTTGCATGAGGTCGCTTGAGAAGGTCGAACGGCTTCTGTTCTTGTACAAGCTGTATTTTGTACGCATTTAATTTCAGTTATCAGCGTAAAATGCGCCCAGTCATTCCATATATCAGTCCGAGTTGCTGCGAATAGCACCGAATTGACTCTCCACGCTCTTTGTATACACTCTCAGTTACGGCTGACGTGGTCTACTCGGACGAATATTATTCAATAATGAATGCTGGGTCTCAAGAAGGGTGATGTTATTGCGAATAGTAAGCTTAGTAGGCCGATTATGTTGATCATAGGATGAGTCATCCATCCTTTACGTAATGAAATTGAGCGATTTGAAAACGTCGTTCAGGCGCAAGTCTTTCCATCACTAAATGCTAAACAGTACTGAACATAACTAACATGACAGCTTGACACGACTCACGCGTCATCTGTCAAAAAAAGGCTAATGAAAAAAGTACCTCCATTTGGATAACCCGGTATATAGATTTTCAAACCAACAATAGTTTTTAGACCATATGTTTCGCTAATGTTAACTCCCACATTTAAAGGATATTGTGTGAGGGTATTTTGTTGATTATTCAACAACAGTATGCATTTTTTTATTCAGCCGAGGCACAGTGTGGATATGTAGCCTTAATTATCGATTCTGTAGGGTGCTTAACTCTAAGTTGAATTATTCAAAACCTTCGAAAACAAAGAGGAAAGAACTAAAGAGGAAATAATATGAGAGTGAATAAATAGCGTTATATACGAGTATATAACCTCATTTATAAAAAGTCAGAAACTGATATCCAGACCATATCTTAACTCAAACTTAATGTATGCCTTGACTCAAGTATGCCTGAAAATTGAAGTTCTTTAAATATGCCTTAAAAATTTAATTGTGAAATGTCCCTAATTTAATGTCTCTCCTTATTAAACTCACAACTTAAAAGAAACAAAGAGACATTTCAGAATCCTTCAAGTTTTTTAGAAGTGTTCTTAAGCATTCACAAAGAGAATTTCGAAATAATTAAATATTATTTTCAAACAAACCCACACCTTAAATATTAACGCATTTTCAACTCACACTCTTCGTACTAAATGCAATATACAGTGGCTCACAGCTTAAATATTTTTACTTTTAATAGCTTAAATCATATTCATGGATTTTCCATCGAAACAATAAGTTTTTGGATAGTTTCCCGGGAGATTTTGTGCCATTTCTTGACTAAGACAGTTCTTAGTACGTTCAATTTACTAATCTGCCTGTACCGTGTCACCAAGTCTTAAAATGCCCACAAATGACGTTTAAGACAGGAGATTGTGGAAGTGGATTCAGCAACAAAACAGCTATGATTGCGCAATCGCCGATTTGTGCTGGTAATATCGGAAACGATCGCGTACACTCAAAACTTCGGCACTTTGCAACGAGTTTTCTTTTAGTATGCTTAAGTATTGAATGTTTGTCAATTGTGCCGCCAACAAAACCTACTTTGTCAACTCTAGATGCAGCCAAACCATAACATTTTCTCCGTCGTGCTTAATTGTTGCTTACAAATTTTGATTTTGAAGTCTCTATTGGCTTTGCGGCACACAAAATTTATGACATCCACACCAAAAAGGTTGAATTTGGACTCAAAGGCGAAAATTACAGCTTCCCGGAATGTTTTTGGCTTCGTCACACGGTACTGAGCAAATTTAAGCCGGCTTTATGTATTTGTATTCAAATTGAATTGCTGTTTGCGAGCTACTCGGTCATTGAAGTCATATTCTGGCAACACACGACGCACTAATCGATTTTCGCCACGTAACGCTTTATAATGGACTGAACTGTACGAGCACTCAGTTCGACCATCTCAGCTGTTTTTAAGGTTTAAAACTATTTCTCTGTTTCTTTTTTTTTCTCAGAAATACTTTTTCGGTGTATTTACTATGGGAAGCTAATTTTTTTTTTTAGATATTTATTATAACGTATTTGATTTTACAAATATGTAGGCAAAATTTCGGGTTTGAATTTTTTCGGTAACAAGTTGAGAGCTTTCTCTATAAGGTTCAAAAATTTTATTTAGCAGCTGCACGAAATAAGCTGTGAGCCACTGTAAGTAATGCTAGTGTACACGTTTGCTACTTACATCCATAATAGCATTAAAATTATTGCTATTCAAAGTGTTGTCCAAATTGTCATTGGAGTTGCCCATAATGTTGTTGCTATTGCTGTTATCCTTGTACATTAATTGTTGTTGCATTTGTTGCTTTTGCTGCTGTTGCTGCTGCTGCTGCTGTTGCTCTATGGTCTTCTTATATTTGGCATTAAAAGCACTTTGACGCTCACTGAGACGCTGTAAACGTTTGCCATCCGTATTTTCTGAAAAAAAAAAAATTAATATTGAAAATAAATACATAATTAATATTAGTAAATAGTAGGGAATTTGAAATAGAGGTTATGTATAAGGATCATAAGCAATATGACGCGCAAGTTTGTATCTAAAATCTTTTAGAGTTTCTGTACAATGGAAGAGTAAATATTGGTAGCGATAATGTTATTCTATGTTGCGTACAAGTTAACCGATGTAACAGAAAGAGAGCCCCTATAGAAACACGTCCATTGTAACCACAATCAAACACGAAAATTTAGCTATAGACTATAAACAAATAGACATTTTCTCCTCCATTTTACAGCTTTTGCTTTTTGCTTGATAAAGGTGGAAGCATCTCTGAAGATTCCGGAATTGATATTGGTCGCCTAAACACATTTGTGAGAGGCTCCACGCGTTTTGTCGATATGCGAGGGTCTCTTTGATCTGTACTTAGGAATCCTGGGCATCACAATGGAATGCCATTTCTAGTTGAATCTGTCATGACTTCACGAATATCGGTCTGAATACTTAACCTAATCTGACCTTTTCATTGTGGTGGAATACTCCTTTACTAAACTGGTAATTAAGCAGAGATATCATATTGCCATACATTTTTTGAGAGTATCGAAGGATAGATGGAGTGGTTTTGAATTATACTCGATTTTTGTCAGTTACTATTTGAGCATCAGCACGGATATTCCGTTTGATGTCCGTTTTTCCAATCACCTTCCATACATATGTTTTACTAAATATTATTATCTTCAATTTATTTTATTCAAAATGGTCTACTTTTGCTTCAATACAGCATTTTGCATGGTGCAAAAGCATGTCGAACGAGTGTTTTAGCTCGTAGGCGGGTATGGCCTTTTGAATGACCTCTACGTCTGTTAACACTTTCCTTTCATGGGCAAATGCTTTTTCCGAAAAGGAAGAAGTCGCGCCATATCAGGTGGATTCGGGGATTAGTTAATGGTTAAAATGTGATTTTTAGTCAAACAATCGTCCTTCAAATATTGGATTCGTGGATTCTGAGCAATTTTAGGTCGTCAGTCAATTTGTGCGGAACAAACCGTGCATACACCTTTCGTAAGCGATTTGCGATAAATCGATATTTTGGAGATGTTCAATTCCTTTTCGATGAATTTCGGCTGATTTTTGATGAATTTACACACAGTTTCGATGGCATTTCCGGTGATCACGGATTATGATTGGCTCACATGTTGATCGTCATTTATGTCCTCACGACCACTTTGAAAACGTTGAAACAACTAGTGCACTCTTCTACGGGATAGGCAATCATCGCCATAAACTTGTTTCATTAATTGAAACGTTTCAGTAGTTTTACCAATTTTAAAACAAAATTTAATGTTGGCTCTTTGCTCGAAGCTCATTTTCGCACCGATAACACAAACGTACTGGCAATTGAAACGTAATAACTTCATTTCCAATAAATAAAATCTCATAAATTGTCTCACTGGACAATGGATAAACATAGCAGATTCTTAGGCACGTGTCGACATATAGATGGCGCCACCAGAGGCGTCCTGTTTACTTTGGAACTCCCCTTATATAACACTTAATTCATTTTGTAAGAACCACTATGATGTCAGGAATATTGAGGAAGAGTTGGAGTTTTTGCCTCTCAGGCTACGACTAAAAATATTTCTGATTTCGGAATATCAATCGATTTCAAGTTCTACGAAGTGCTATGTTTTTATTTTTATGTTCATCATAATAATTGAGGCTTTGCATTGTGGCCTATATTCTATTGTGCTCTCTCCTACAACACATAAGGTCCAGCACTCCGAACAATTCAACGCGCTTACTGGGTTAAAGTGATGTGATTTTTGTACACCTATTTAGAACCTAGGACCTTGAGCCTGTTACTACAAATTGCTGAGCAATCTAGAATCAGGTCTTCTAGAGCTTCCTGAGCTTGCAGTGCCCTGTATAGAATGCGACAAGGAGGCAGAATGTGTCTAGGAGAAGATTGATCATATTGATTAGCGGATCAGCTTTCCTATATACTCCTTCATCAAAAGCGATTTGACCGCATAAGCTGAGATGGCTTTTAGTGTCGCTTGACTATCGCTAAGTATAGTGATATGTTGATTGTGTTTGTTGTTAATGGTGATAGTTTTACAAAGCAAAGACATCTGCTTGAAAGTTGCTCGAAAACGTCTCATGAATGTCAATAGTTTGATATGTGGTTCCGCAATGCCTGCTGGATAGTGCAGGTAGTTGTTGCTCGACAGTGGAATCACTCCATTCCACCTTACTGCCGAGAGTAACTCTAAGCTTTATTGTAAAATTTACCCTCTTCGGAACTCCCTCCGTTGGAAGAAGGTAGTGTTCCTTCCTCTTAGGCCTTCATTTGTTGAGACGACATTATCTTCCCTTTGCCAAAATCCTCTGCTGCCATGAGCCGCATGGTATGTTTGACAACCTGTTTGATCACTAGATGAGCTCCAGCCTTCAAGTTCTGTAGGTGGGGAAGTGCGCACTGCTCTTGAAGCGCAGACGCAGGCGAGCCTTTGCAGCTTCGATTTGACGATACACGGCTTGCAGGATCTGTCCACTAGGCATCTGCATATCATTAGTGCCTTAGTGGCTTTAGACAGTATTAATTCCACGCGCCTATTCCACCGTAAGTTTGGGTGAAATGGATTACTTTCAATAACTGACTTGATGGACAAGTATTGTGTTCGCAAAACTTAGTAATTTCAACCATGTTTAGTGCACGTCGGTACTTCAACAAAAGATATGAGGATGATTTTTAATGCTGACTAAATGTTCCCCTACTAAATACTCTCTGCTTTAATAAAATTGCTCATTAATTTTAAATGTCTGTCTCGAACCAATGAGGTGTGTGGTAGAAATAATTTCCAAACCGTCATTTTTAATACCCGTGAATTGTTTGTTTACATTTTTAATTATTGTCCTTTAATGTGCCACAATATATACGGGATTTCAGTAAGCAGCTTACTGGTATCGCCTTCGCCTTGCTGTTTGTTTTCCGACTTACGACGACAACTTGCCGTTAATGTATTTATTGTAGAAGCTTTGTTTGTATTTAATCTGATATGGTGATTTATATTTCATATAAATATATTTATTTATGTACTCATATATTGGCATGTACAAATGCGCATTTGCTAGTTTTGAGCTATAAAGTCGCGAATGTTGGTTTTTGGCTGGTGTTGTATAGTGAATTTAGTCGTTCGTTCCTGAATTATTTTATATTTGTTTATAATAATTATTTTAGTTTAAATAACATGGCTCATAATTTGTAATTGTAAAGTCATTTAGCTTTACATTTATTTGTTCATATCATAGTAATAAATGTATATTCTAAATACTTATGGGAATCGTTTCAAGTCGTAATTCTTATTCCTTGAACTATTTTCAGGTTAGAAAGAGGGTTATGTGTGAAGAACTGCGGATATAGACGCTTATTTGACGGTAATTAAAAATGTTGAAGGTAGTTATTAACTGCCAGCGATTCGGCAGAACTTGGAGAGTGGCAAATCGAACAAGCAAGTAGGGCTATATGCCAAACTGATTATGAACCTGAAAATTTCGATACCATAGAAGTATCTAAATTAATACAGTCGAACAAAATGTCATGTGATGATTGTTAGAGAATGGCGTAAGCGTTTTAAAGCTACTTAAACTACTCGAGCCAAAATGTAAAGATCATGCAATAGAAGTCGAATACTATGGGAGAAACTTTAAAGATCTTAAAGAGCTTTGGAACGTATGATTGCGATAATTGTAATACCTCTTTAACTACGTGGTGTGGAAAAAGTTGGAAAAGAATTTAAAGACTGGTTAGTTTAAATAGGATAAATAAGAATTTGCTTAATCCAATTACGTATAATTTTTTTTTGATATCTCAACTAATTGGTTATTTTGGTTCTATTTACGGGAGTGTTTCCTTTATGCTTAGCTATGTCACCACCTTCAAAAAATAGATACTAGAAATAGAATGGATCGCTGAAGCAGTACTAAGTGTTGACAGAAGTTCCGACAATACTAGCGGCCACTTCAAAGTTCATAGTTCTTGGAGAAGAGTAAAATCTATAATTAGAACAGATCCAACTTAGTAATCGTCATAGCTACTATATTCCTATGTTTTGCCAAAACGAAAAAGGATCGCAGTAGGAAGGAGAACATGTGGCAAAATATTTTGAAAAAGTGGTCGTGGTCCCGCCCTCTAATATATTTAATGTAATGTGTAGTGAAAACAATCTTATTAGCTCAAGGTAAATTACATATTACGATACTGTTAAAAACAACCAAAAGTACGATAAATCAATAACCAAATATTATATAATAGGGACATTAAATTTTACAACCGAGATGATATAAGGCCGGTGTAAAAATCAGACGATATGCGTGGCACCGCCCGCTTTCAGGTAAAATCACATATCTCGGGACCCGACAGACCGATTTCGACTACATGTATTTGTACATGATATTCTTCTGACATTCTTATATCACAGTAGGAAAACTAGCGAAATCGAACTACAACCACGTCTACTTCTCATATAGTACAATTCTAAATTTCACTAGCTTCTTTCACTTTCCAATACCAAAATCAAGAAGCAATTGATATAACGGGATAGAACTTTGCTTTAATAATTTCTTTAAATCAAGCTACCTTACGACCAAAACCTGTTCTAATCCAACCTAAACTGTTCCAGTTCCCAATTACCGAATATGTGGACCCCAGTTTCTATAGTTAACTATTGACCGAAAATATAAAATTAAATTCGAAGATATTCCTAGTAATAGTATTTCTGTGTATTGAAAATGGGTTGAATCGGGTTGAATCCTTTATACTGGATATATCGGCCAATATGTGAGTTATCTCAAGAAAATTACAGAATATGTTTTACTGATAGCAGTATATGAACTTTTTTTTTAGTATATGGTATGATAACAATAAGTGCTATTGGCAAAGATAAATAAAATCGAGTCAGTACTACCCCGAACTATTATATTTTTTTGAAGGAATATATCGGACTTTGAGTCTTTTAAGTTGCAAGAGTATAAAATGTTCGGTTCTTCTTCTTATTTCGTTTGCCATGGTCGCCATCAAAAGGGGGGTCTCTTATCCGAGGCTGGCTGTTTTTCTTTTTCATTGGGGTATTTTTTTACGTGACGGATCCCAAACCCAGCGCTAAACCCTATGCAGGAGATATTTCACCTTTTCACCTTAGCTCGCCTTCAAAGGGATGTTCTTAGACTACGCAGAGGATACTTGCTCAAAGACCGGAAGTCGTGAGCTGCTTGAGCTATATGTAGAAGAATCGTTTCTGGCCACTCTCAGTTGAATGACGATCAAAGAGCTTTCCTTGCGTGAACTTCTACACATGACTCCATTCTCCTAAATTTTCGGTTACACCCTTTTGTACTTGCTTCTTATAGGTTAGATGCTAATCACTCTACGTATATATACAAAAACGTAGTATTACTTTTTTTATATATACGTATGTATATATCGTGCATACATTGTCAACAAGAATTCATTATTAATACTTAATACTATTTAAAAGTTCAGCTGCACTTTACTCAACTCAGGTGTTTCATAAATAGAAATTTGGTAAAAAAAAAAGGCTGCCACTTAATCAGATGACCACACTTTTTAGTGAATTAAGGCTTCTCTTAAACTTATCGGCTTAAATATAATTAAACTAATTAATCGAATAAAAATTTTGCGCAACCGCAACTTTGCGAAGCCGAGGCTTATACATAAATTACGAGAGCGAAAATCACATGCAAACGCGGCGCTGTCGGGCTTGCAATGACAACCGCTCAAAGGAATGCGCGCAAAATGCCGAACGGAATTTACATAGAGTAATTGAATGGAAAAAAATTGTAGCAAGTGCACAAATGCTGCGAAGCCAATGAAATGTCAGGATATGGCATGCTGGATACAGGATACAGGCAGGAAAGGCTGTCATGCGGTTGGCGCGGCAATCGCATTAAAATTGATACTAAGTAGTACGCGATTACCAGTGAGTAAATATTACATTAGGGCATAATGCTTAAAAATATATATTTTTGTCTTCAAAATATGTGCATTTTACGTTTGACCGAGATTTTACAGGGAGGAAATGAAAAAGTTCGACCACTTTGGCAGAGGTTGTGTTTTTAAGGGGAAAAACTGGTTTAATAGGATTCAGAAAAAAAACATTAAGTATTAATGAAAATAAAATATATATTCCTCGAAATGATAGAAAAGAATAACCGCTACCTTCTTTTGTTGGTTAAGACTTATATTTGTATTAATCGGCTGAGTAAATATTTGGAGTTTCAGATCAAATTATTATATCAAGTATCTATATATTATATTGTAGAAGACTAGTAATGGAATGATGTCCATATTTTATTTCTAGTCAGTGCCGGTAGTTTTTTCTTTAATTTTCATATGTATGAAAAATAATTACTTCATTAGCCTGGGTTGAAGAGTGGATGGTTAAGAATATTGAAGGATTCTTTATTCAGATTACCAAATACAATAAGACTTCCTTGAATATATGCATTGTCGACTTTTCGAGCATTCTACTTAATACTCTCTCAAAGCTGCTTTTATTCTCTACTTTGTCATCTGCCGTTAGAAGTCGGAATATTTTTATAATTTTCGAGTGATAGATGGTTAACTGGAGTCTCGTTTATGTTCTCTTTATTAATCTCACAAAGTGTCCAAAAGATTGTTTTCTCAGCTCCAGTGTTGTTAGAACAGACCTTTCACTCGAGATAAGCACTTTACGATAGCTTGATATGCGTTAGATAGTAAAAATCTATGATAAAGCTAGACTGTCAGTCATCACAGTGGATTGTAAGATTAACTACAGATCTCCCAATTAAATTATCTGGGAGAATATTTCACTCAAAGCTCAAATTTAAGGAACAAATAGACTACACGTTCGGTAAAGTGAATAATATCTATAACGCAAATAACTCTTTATAAGAAATGGTGATAAATAGAGGCTACGTACGTTCCAATCAACTATGTTTAACAGCAAAATTTGGATCCAAGCGCTAAACATATGTAATATCGTATACTAGATCAATAAGCGTTCTGCATAGACTCATAGCAATACAAGCTATTCGTGCTTTTCGAACCCCACCAGTGATTCTGCTGAAGCAATTGACATCCAGGAAAACAAAATCGTATGATTATACCAGCTATCAAAGCCGTCAACAGGTGCCGAAAGAGGTGAGAGAACTAAGAGCATAGCAATATGACGGTAATGTTGGAAAATCTCATTCAAAGACAGTCTTATAAACAAACATCCATACGTGGACAGACAGACAACATGAGGACCTGTATTTGCAACTGATTCAAATACTACCAAGATGACATGGGTGCTGCAGAAACTACATATTCAAACTCCGTCTTGACTTTAGTCCGAAGTGTTCGACGTGTACATAGTAGGTAGAAGACCCCGAACGCACATTCGTTTAATGCTTTCGACTTTTAAGTGTAACGGAAAAGCTAAAAATTATGCTCCCATCCATTATTAAATGGGCAACTACAGCGAAGCGGCAGCTTTAATTATGACTAAACTGAGCCATTTACAGAAGATTAGGCGTTCGTCAGTTCGCACTATACATAGAGGCAACTTCAAATGATTTGTATCGTAGTACCGTGGGAGAGTCTTGAGTTGAGAGTATGTTAGGCATGTTTAGCTAATAATTAGCTTGTTCTCACGACAGGAATGAGCACGTAACAGCAGGATAAGATAAGGTAAGATAAATAGTCAATGATTGCACCGCGACCTTAGGCCTATTGTGAACTTTTCTAAATCACAAGGACTCACCTAGTAACACAATATTGATTAAGTCCAATATACTGTGAGGTATTATAATACCTATTTGGACACACGGAGCCCAGGGCCTTTATCATGCATCTACAGACTGCTATGCCGAGAGTTCAGGTCCTACCATGTTAGTGGATGCTGCGCAGCGGGTGAGTTCATCAACCAGTTCATTCTCGGCTATGCGTTCGTGACAGAGCTCTCAAATTAGGTGCACTGAGCGTTCCGCTAGGCTATACAGCCGTTCTCTACACTTCTGCACTAGTAGTGATTTAATGTCATAGGTAGCGATTGCTTTAAGCGCTCTTTCTCTATCTCTAAGTGCGGTTATTCTGCCTGAAAAATGTTCTTAAACTATGTACCGTTATGGAGACTTGGGTGCGTGGTCCTGTGACTCCCGCACCCATTCCCACCGACGTTTTTAAGCCGTCGAGAGTGGAATTATTCCTTTCAGCTTTGCTGCTAAGAGTAACCTTGAACTTTTGGCTGAATATGGAACATATTTTTTGTGATTACCAATTTAGCTGTTCTGGAATAGATATATTTAGAAAATTATGCTATCGGAAAGTATACGAGAGAACAACTTAACAGTTTTCTTTGTTTTACTCTCTAGAAAATTTAATAAATTACTTTAAATTGCATATTTTTGCGATGCACTGTATACTGTTGGCCATTTTGTTGTTTCAAGTCTCCACATTTCTCATCATACCCTTTCCTTTGTTATTCTAATATTACTGAAGCCAAATTGTTTGGGCTTTTTTGTTTTTGCAATTCACTGTCAACGCTTGTCGGTTGGCATATTTACTTTGCTAGAATATGAAGACAACTTAATTTTACGAAAGCATTTTGGAGTGAAAAAATGGAGAGCAAAATATTTTTTTTTTGTCTGATGCGAGTTTGCCCTTTTGTAAACAGCCAAACAATAACTTAATGGATGTAATATATTTACTTTCACATGTGTGTTTGTGTGTGTGTGTGGTCAAAGAAGCAGCCTTTTTCGTTCTCTCATCTTTGCTTTCAGATTTCAAGTGCTGCACTCTCCTTTAATTTATCGGTCCACAAAATGTCTCTTCTTTCGCTTTTATGCCCTGAACAGATTGCACTAAGTTTGCCATGACGTTTCTAGCACACAGAAGCAAACATCGGGGCCCTATAATATATATACATATTATTATAAATGATTCGCATCACGAGCTGACTCGATTGAGTCTGTCTCTCCGTCCGTCTATATATTCGCGAAGTAGTCTCTCAGCTTTTGAGATATCAATCTGATTCTAAGAAGGTGGTGATTTGTCGGAACCGGTGATATCTCACTACTAAAGCCTATAAACTGAACAATCAAAATGGTTCTGGTGAGGAGGACTTTCTATTTGTGAAGGGTATTATGGCTTTGGTTCGAACGAAGTTAGTTTTTTTTTTTTGGTTTTATGAACACACTTCATTTTTATTTTATACATATGTATATCAAGAATAATGGTTATCTGCTGTACTATAGTGGAAGCTGTACTTACCCTTGCATGGACAGAATCCCTTGCACGCTATTCTTATGGTTGTGGAATGTATGCAGTTGTGGTAATCCAATCTGCATAGCGATGAGTAGGTACGGTTGTCGGCGCCGCATAAGAAAGTCGGCTTTGCCACCGGGCAGGGCTTGCAATTGCTGGACGAAGCACGCGTCAGCCAGAGACGCGCAGGCGGACAGGCGAGTGGTGGTCCAAGGCATTGTTGCAATAGCAGAAATTGGTAGTGGATGGATGACAGCAAGGATGCAACGGCGCATTCGGTGGCCGCACAGTAGCACATAGCCGGCACGCAACAGTCAGCCAAGCGGTAGCATGAAAGTAGATAAAGAAGAGAGAAGTATGGCGGAGAGGGGCTAACGTTATTGAACAGTTGCAAGTTGAGTGCGGCAAATTGCTGTGGCGCATACATAAGTGTGTTTGTGTATGGATGTGAGTGAGTGAAGTAGTGGAAAATTAATTTCTTATGCAAATTATAGTCCGTTGGCTGGTCTGGTCTCACTGGCTGGTTGGCTGACAGGCAGAGTTGGCAGAAGTCAGCTGCCAGTATGCGAGTATTTTAAATATTCTCACACTCATACACAAATACTAACATACTCTTATTTGTACACATACACACATATATTTACAGTTAGTGTATATTTCGTTTTGTTATTCTTGTGTGGACAAATACTTATTTTGTATTGCAGTTATAGTCACATGATTGTTTACATATATACATTCGTACCATACAAGAATATGATGTTTAATAGTTAATTTTTCTTCAACAGACTCTTTTTTTATGATTTAGTCACATTCTTTAAGATACTATATCCCATTGTGAGAAAAAAAATTATTAAAAAAAATGTTAACTAAATTATTCAATAACTACATAAAACTAATGGAAAATTTAGTGCACTTTAATAGTCGTTGATTCATTTTTAAAAATTCTGGATTCCTTGATTCCCTAGCCGATCTCCAGGAATACCTCCGAGAAAAAGTTTTCTGGCGATTAAGAAGATTTACTTGGATGAAACTATCTGAAATACTAAAAGAAAATAAACAAGTAAGGAGGGGCTAAGTTCGGGTGTCGCCGAACATTTTATACTCTCGCATCAAATACCGTATTAGTGTAAAGTTTTATTCCGCTATCATCATTGGTTCCTAATGGATAAATTATACAGAGAAGGCATCAGATGGAATTCAAAATATCGTTATATTGGAAGAAGGCGTGGTTGTGAACCGACTTCACCCATATTTGGTACATGTCATCAGGGTGTTAAAGAAATATTATGTACCGAATTTCATTGAAATCGGTCGAGTACTTCCTGAGATATGGTTTTTGGTCCATAAGTGGGCGACGTCCCATTTTAAATTTTTTGAAAAAGCCTGCGTTCAGCTTCCTTCTGCCATTTCTTCCGTAAAATTTAGTGTTTATGACGTTTTTCGTTAGTCGGTTACGCACTTTTAGTGATTTTCAACATAACATATTGTATGGGAGGTGGGCGTGTCTGTCTTCCGTTCTTAAACTGTATATGAAAATGCCTGAAGGAAACGACTGTATAGAGTTTGGTTTACATAGCTACAGTAGTTTCCGAGATATGTACAAAAAACTTAGTAGGGGGCGGGGCCACGCCCACTTTTCCAAAAAAATTACGTCCAAATATGACACTCCCTTAGTGTCCTTAGTGCCAAATTTCACTTTAATATGTTTATTTATGGCTTAGTTATGACATTTTATAAGTTTTCGGTTTTCGCCATTTTGTGGGCGTGRTAGTGGGCCGATTTTGCCCATCTTCGAAATTAACCTTCTTATGAAGCCAAGTTTCATCATGATATCTCAATTTTTACTCAAGTTACAGCTTGCACGGACGGATGGACAGATGGATAGACGGACAGACGGATATCCGGATCTCAACTCTACTCGTCACCCTGATCATTTTGGTATACATAACTCTATATCTGACTCTTTTAGTTTTAGGACTTACAAACAACCGTTATGTGAACAAAACTATAATACTCTCTTTAGCAACTTTGTTGCGAGAATATAAAAATGCACCTGCTGAAGTTAGAGTTCCCAAAACAGCTATTTATGTTTTGGATACAGTAAAGATTAGAGAGATTCAAGTGAAATNCTATATCTGACTCTTTTAGTTTTAGGACTTACAAACAACCGTTATGTGAACAAAACTATAATACTCTCTTTAGCAACTTTGTTGCGAGAGTATAAAAATTATTAAGGGTGATCCAAGTAGATGTACTTTTCTCAACAGTCATTCTTCGGTATATTACGCGTCAATCGTGTCAAGCTGTCAAATTGCTTTTGTTCAGCATTGTTTGGCATTTCATCATGGAAAAACGTACGCCTGAACAACGTCAACAAATCGTTCAACTTTAATACGGAAATTCGGGTTCTTGCAAAGTTCGAAGAAGATCCAACGTTTTTGGGCCAAATTTTGTTCTGCCATTTCTGTCTCAATGGCTACGTAAATAAGCAAAATGGTCACATACGGAACGAAAAACAACCTGAAGAGATTCAAGAGCTTCCATCATCGGTTCATATTTTTGCAAAAATGATGTCGATAAGAACGCAACCGTCAATCGAGACCGTTATCGCGCCATGATAACCGACTATTTGATTGCTGAAACTGAAGATCGTGAGATCGGCGACATTTAGTTTCAACAAGAATGTGCCGTTTCCCAAACATTGCATTAAACAATGGATTTATAAGCACTCCGGTGGGTCGGTCGATTTACCGTCAAGATCGTGTGATATCGCTCCGTTAGACTTTTTTCTGTGGGTATATGTAAAGTCTAAAGTCTATTCGGGCAATCTCGCTGAAATTAGGAATTGTGTTACCCAATAGCCAGTCGAAATGCTCGATCGCGTCACTAAAAATTGGACTCAACGCCCGGACCATTTGAGACGTAGCCACGGCGAACGTTTGAAAGAGATTACCTTCAAGAAATAAATGCCAAAGAATTTTCTGCGCTCTTGCTTTAAAAAAGTAAGAAAACTCAAAATGGAACATCTTTTATTATCCACTGTCATAATAACTTTTACTTATATACAAGTAATGATCGATTAGAAACTATTAGCAAAATCTTATGTCTTTCATCAGTATCTAAGAAATATATTCAAGATGGTCTTGTGAAAATTTAAAGTTAATGATTAGGCCAATGTTTCGAAAAAAATTCGATTCTTTTAGGGCATTATATACAGTTAGAATAATGTTACAAAAAAATGCCTCATTAACAGAAGGTTTCAATACCGGAGCATACTCTTGTAGAACATCCATAGGTTATCTAGTGACTGATGCCCAGAGCATACTAAAATTATGGAGAGAACACTTCTTCAGCCGGTTGAATGGCAGCGAAAATATAACGCCAGGAGAAGGTGAACCCGATTTCCCAATCAATGACGATGAAGCAGACGTTCTACTGCCCGAGCATGAGGAATTTCGAATAGCAATTACCCGCCTGAAGCACAACAAAGCGGTGGGGCCGATGAATTGCCGGTCTAGCTATTCAAACACGGCGGCGAAGAACTGATAAGGAGCATGCATCAACTTCTTTGGAAAATATGGTCGGACGAAAGCATGCCCAACGATTGGAACTTAAGTGTGCTATGCCCAATCATTAAAAAAGGAGACCCCACAATCTGCGCCATCTACCGTGGGATAAGCCTYCTCAACATTGCATATAAGGTTCTATTGAGCGTATTGTGTGAAAGATTAAAGCCCACCTTCAACAAACTGATTGGACCTTCTCAGTGTGGCTTCAGACCTGCAAAATCAACAACCGACCAGATATTCACCATGCGCCAAATCTTGGAAAATATCCGTGAAAGGAGAATCGACACTCACGACCTCTTCATCGATTTCAAAGCTGCTTGCGACAGCACGAAAAGGAGCTACCTATATGCCGCGATGTCTGAATTTGGTATCTCCACAAAACTAATACGGCTGTGTAAACTGACGTTGAGCAACACCAAAAGCTCCGTCAGAATCGGGAAGGACCTCTCCGAGCCGTTCGATACCAAACGAGGTTTCAGACAAGGCGACTCCCTATCGTGCGATTTCTTCAACCTGCTTCTGGAGAAAATAGTTCGAGCTGTAGAACTAAATAGAGAAGGTACAATCTTCTATAAGAGTGTATGGATATCATCGGCCTCAACACCCGAGCCGTTTGATCTGCTTTCTCCAGACTGGACAAGGAAGCAAAGCAAATGAGTCTGGTGGTGAACAAGGGCAAGACTGTCATCAGATAAACATTCGCCGCACATGCGACTAGGCACCCATCTTGGTACCAGCATCAACACCAATAACAACGTCAGCCTCGAAATCTCTTGGCAACCAGTGATACCTCGGATCAAATTGGCAATTGACAAGTAAAGTGCTCTCTCGACGAACAAAAACAAAACTCAAGGTGCGTTCCAAAGTAAACAGGACTTTAAAAAAACAGAAAAAATGGTTTTTCGGCAAAATAAATTCATTTTATTCAAACTAGTCTCTTTCTGCTTCAATACAGCTTTTTGGACGGTTCAAAAGCATGTCGTGCAAGAGTGTTTAAGCTCGTTGACCAGTATGGCCGCCAGTATGCCGCTGCAAGCCTTTTGAATGGCTTCTTCGTCTGCATAGGCAAATGCTCCTTCCTTTCATAGGCAAATGCTTTTTCCACAAAGGAAGAAGTCGCGCGGAACCATATCAGGTGAATTCGAGGCTACTCCCCCGGTTAAAATGTGACAATAGTCCTTCAAATATTGGATTCTGAGCAATTTCGGGTCGTCAGTCATTTTTTGCGGAACAAACCGTGCACACACCTTTCGTAAGCCCAAATCTTCGATCAAAATGCCATAAATCTATATTTTGGGGATGTTCAATTCCATTTTAATGAATTTCAATGATGACTTCGTCTGATTTTTGATGAGTGCACGCACTGTTTCGATGGAATTTCCGGTGATCACGGATTATGATTTTCCCACATGTTGATCGTCATTTATGTCCTCACGACCACTTTGAAAACTTTGCAACCACTCGTGCACTCTGCTACGCCATAGGCAATCATCGCCATAAAGTCGTTTCATCAATTGAAACGTTTCGGTAGTTTCACCAATTTCAAAACAAAATTTAATTTTGGCTCTTTGTTCGAAGCTCATTTT